CGTTGCATATGGGCTGGAAGTGAGGGCATGGAGAGCCGCGCGGCCCCAGCGATGCGGAGGAGAAGCTGCGCGGTGTGTTCGTACCAGGAAGATACGGTCCGGAGCAGAGAATCTTGCTGGGGGAAAGACAGTCATCTCGTAACGGGAAAGGGCCGATTCATCCAGCAGACATGGTGACGTGTGCACCGAATGACGCCTCCGAAAGCGTAACGCGAGGTCTTCGGAGTCGGCGGGGCACGAGCGTTCCGCAGAGCTCCCTCTAAACGTTACTCGGGGCTCTCTTGTTCCTCCAGTTTTACCGCTGTCCACGGTTCCCTGTAAGTTACACGCAGGGACCCTGCGCTCACCTTTCCTTGGCTCTCATGAGAAACCCTTCTGGGAGGCAGGGGGCGGCCTCTCTCAGAACCTGTGCTCCTGGCCAAACTAGTTTTGGCTTCTGTGGGCTTCAGTTTTTCCATCCGTACCGTGAAGACCAACAGCGATGGGGTTTTTCAGAGAGGGAGAGGGAGAACCTTAAGCAGGGTCCACGCCCAGCATACAGGCGGACACAGGGCTCCATCGCATAGCCCTGAGACCGTGACCCAAGCCAAAACCAAGAGTTAGATGCTGAGGGGCACCTGGGCGGCTGTCAGTTGAGCATCTGCCTTTGGCTCAGGTTGTGGTCCCAGGGTCCTGGGATTGAGCCCCGCATCAGGCTCCCCACTCCACGAGGAGTCTGCTTCTCCCTCTGCCACTCCCCCTGCTTGTGCTATCTCTCTGAAATAAATAAAATCTTAAAAAAATAATTAAAAAAGAAAGTCGGATGCCTAACTGATGAGCCCCCCAGGTCCCACCCCCACCAGAAATGTTTTTAAGTCCTGAACTCTTTCTCCAGGCTGCAGCCCATGGAGGCCCCTAGAAGCTGGCTCACGTACCCAGCACAGGCCTTTGGACCAGCCACTATGGGAGGGTCAGGGATCCGGGCGGGGGGATCCACATGAGGGCTTGGGCTTGGTGCCTCGCAGATTCCTCCTGTGGCTCGTGCAATCTGGGAAAGAGTATTGTGTGAAAGGCATTCTTGCCTCTCAAGTATTTTCAACCCAGCTGACAGCGAGACACATGCACGCTGAATTTTGAAAGCTGCTCTCGGCTTCTATACAAATAAGATGGATTTTGAGGATGACAGGTGCTGACTTGTACATCTTTAGTTCAAAGGCAAGTCACGGCTATTACCTGGCTCGAGAAATCTAAGGGATTCGTGGCTGGGGCCATGAAAGGCTTTCCTGGCTGGGGAATCGTCCCTCTTTGCTTTCTTGTGTATAAGCTCGGCTCAGCCTTAGATGCCACATTGCAGCACAGAAGCGCGGTGCTGTGCGGGAGCTCCCAGAGCACACGTGTGTGGCACGGAGCCCGTGCCCTGAAAGTTAGGACAGACAGAAACTTCTTTAACACGTGGGGTCATTTCAGAGCTGTGGAATCGGGTATGTCGAGCAGTATATGTGACCAATATCACATGACATCCTTTTCCTTCACGACTCCTGTCTTTTTTTTTTTTTTTTTGGACACTTTCTTGCTGTATGTATGCCTCTCTGGACTTCAGCTTTGAAACACAGATAAATGAAATTGGGAGGGACAAACCTATGTAAAATCTTTCTTATGGAACAGGGTGACACACAGAAGGAAGCTACCAGAAGCCCGTATCCTTTCAAGAGAATCAGTTGTCTGGAAAGCAAGCCTTTGGCTTTTCCATGTCATCTTCCAACCAGTCTTCCAGGTGCTATGAAAAAGGGGGACAGAAGCAGGGGCCGCAGAAAGGTCTGGAAGGATATGCCCCAGGCTAATGACATTAAATGTTTCCATAGGATGGAATGGAAAGGAATGGTAACACATTATTAAATTTTCCTTTACACATTTTGCAATTATCTCATGTTACATTATCACATTATCACCTTTGTAATAAAAGTGTTAATAAGAAACACTGTTAAAAAAAAGAAACACGGTTAAAACAGCTACTCTGTTCATTAAAAAAACAGCAACAACATGGTGTAGGAGAGTGTTTGGATATAATGTCCATGGTCTGTCATGTTAAAAAGAATTCGTAAGCGCACACAGACTAAATTCTGAACCCTAATTATTAGTTTACAGCATAAGTTTGATGAGTCAGAAGCCTTCCCGTAGCCTCTGGGGTTTTATAACCTCCCTCTGGCCTGAGCCCGTTTCACTGGGCAGCCCAGGGCACTGCCCAGTAATTAAATGAAATTTTGTGGGTAATGATTTAGTGCAGTGGCTGGAGCACGTGCCCCCCTCTCCCCCCCACCTTGAGATCCCGCAGAATCAAGGTCACTTACACCTTGTTAGAGGGGACCACCTGCCTTTCCTCTGGTGGTGGATATCCCACAAGTTATTGGCAGCAAGGACATAAGGTCTCCTTGAAATCAACTTCTCCCTCTCTGAGTGCTCCTGTCCTAACCTTCGGCAGAACTCACTCACTACCTACCTCTAACTCTCTCCCTCAGCAAATCCTGCTACGAAGTGGGGGGCTCCCCTCCCAACCCCGCTGACCAGGCTCTAGCCTTTTAAAACTGCTAAAATCTTTGGAATTTTCAACCTTGGTACTACTGATATTTTGGACTGACTGATCCTTTGTTGTCTGGGGCAGGGTGGGGAGACAACCTGCGCATTGCAGGACAGTCAGTGGCATCTCTGCACCCACCAGATGCCGGGAGCATCCACCCCCCACAGCTGTGATGAAAATACCTCCAGACATGGCCAAGTGTCCCCTGTGGGGCAAAAGGGCCCCAGGTGAGAACCACTGTTAAGTTCACAAGTTCATCCACTGTCCCACGAGGACCTGGGACTAGGACCATGTGTTACTATCCATGCACCCCCCACCCCCAATAAAACCCCAAGACATGGATGTTTAAGACCTTCCCAGGGGCAGTTGCCTGTGAAAGCCAAGATTCGTCCACCGTTTTAGTGCAAACTTTCTCCCTTGTTGGTGGCCGCCAGAAGACTTCGGACAAGGGAAATTTCGGCAGGTCGCTGTGGGGGGCGGGGGAGAGGAGAAGCCGTGTTTAGCCGGCTGGTACTCTTTAAACAACCTTTACATTCATGCACGTGGCATAAACCCAAGAGACAGACTGGCAGATGACACGCGGTCCCAGGGCTTTCAATGCCCTACACGCACCGACGACCCTCATTTTTTCACTTCAAGCCTCCTTCGCCTTTTGCGGTAGCCAGCACCATGCATTCCGCTGCCGCTCAGTGTCTCCACGTGGGCATCTGACAGGCTCGTCCCAGCAGGATGTGGCAGCACCGTGCACCAAACCGCTCAGGTCCAAACTTGCAAGCCCTCCTCCGTTCTCCCGTTCCTTTCCGTCACCTTCCAGTCTTCCGTCAGGTCAGCTCTACCTCCAGCACATGTCCCTGTCTGCTGTCTTGTCTCGCACGCCCTCTGCCCTCTTAGTGTGAGCCGCTATCCTCTCCTGCCAGCCACTTCCTGCTCCCAAATCTGGGTGTCCCTGGCCTCACCCCACTGACATTTTGCTTGGGGAAGAGGGCTGTCTTGTGCATTGTAGGAAGTCCAGCGGCATCCCTGGGCTCCACCCACAGATACCGTCACCACCACCCCTCAGATTGCAGCAAAAATATCTCCAGATATTGCCGAATGTCCCCTGGGGGACAAGATCCCCTCTGGCCAAGAACCACGGTCCTACATCCTGCACACACAGGCCAGGATATTTCTAAAAGTGTGAATTGCATTGCGCCAATCACCTGCGGAAAACCCTCCAACGTCTTCCCATCGGCCTTGTAAAGCTCAGGCTCCTTACTGTGGCTTCCAAGACCCTCTGTGAACGTGCCTCTACCTCTTCTCCAACGTCCTCTCTTCTGGGCCTCGCTGCCCCTCCCTGGGCTCCAGCCGCACGGGTCTCGCACGGGTCTCTCTGTTCCTGGAGCATCCCAGCCTGCTCCCATCCGCGCTCCCTCTGCTGCTCCCTCTGCGGCAGGAACTCTCCCCAGACCCCGCCTGGCTCCCTGTTCACCCACACAAAACCTCAGGTCAAAGGTCCGCGAGTGAGCAGGCCCTTCCCTGACCCTTCCATGTAAGGAGCCCCTCGTCTCCGTTATGCCCATGACCCGCTTGTTTCCCTCCCAGCTGCTCCGCACAACGGAAAACGTCTTTCCGCGCCGTCGTGGCCCCTTCGGCAGACTGTGAGTCTGGGGGCTCGGGGCCCCGGCTGCCCGGTCCACAGCCCAAGCGGCAGCGGAGTCCTCCCTCCCCTGCCGAGACCTTCCGAGGTTGCTCCGCGTCCGGGTGTCGCTGGCGCCATGTGTCACTTTTACCCGCCGCTGACCTACGAACGCGGGGCCGGGATGCGGTCCGCGGGCCTCGCACGAGCCCAGCAGGCGCTCGGCGGAGACACCGACCGGCCCGTCAGCGGGGTAACGGCCTCTAGGCGTTTGGGGTCGTACCCTTCACCAGCCACCGCTTCGGTGGGTCCCTGTCCCCAGGGTCGGAGCCGCCCGCAGCCTCCCTGTCCGTGAGCTCAGGTGCTGCAGCCTCCGGGCCTCGGAGCCTCCTGCGCCGGCCCCCACGGAAGGCGGTTCTGGGGGTCCGTGGCGGGGCGGCCCCGGGGGCCGCGCGGTGGACGGTGCCGGCCGCATCCCGACCTCGCGCACCTGCGCCCGGGCCCAGGTCGGGGCGTCTCGGGGCGGGGGTCGGGCTCCGTGAGCGCGGCTGGGGGCCCCCAACACAGCTGGGGGCCGTGTCCCCGCTGCAGGCGCTCCCGACGCGCGGGGAAGCCCCAGGGTGAGGATGACGCCATCCGGGTGCGGTCACCGCAGGCACCAGGATGGAAGCATCGCAGGGCTGCGGTAGCGCGGACACGGCTCCACGAGCAGGGGTTCCGCCCGTCCCGCGCTCGGGGACACCTCCTTCGCCTCTTGCCCCTTCGGCGCCTGCGGGGCATGCGCGGGCCCGCCCCGCCCCACATCCCACACTGCCCCGCGACAGGAAGAGGGGCGTGGCTTCCGGAACTTCCGGGCGGTCGCTGTTTGGGCCGGTGACGGCTTAGCGCTTTAGCTCGCGATGGCCGCGGCCGTCGCTATGGAGACGGGTAAGTGGCGCCCGGAGCGCTCGCAGACACCGCTGCCCCGGACCAGACGCCTTGTCCCGCTCCGTCCTCCTCACCTCACTGGCGTCGACAGACGCCGACCCCGTCCGGCCTCCTGAACCCTCGGCTCCCCGGCCACCCGGCCCCGCCCCTGCCCCAGGCCCGACTCCCCCAGCCTCTCGACACCCCCCCCGGCCTCCTGACCCCCCAGCCTCCCGACACCCCCCCTCACCTGGCCTCCTGACGCCACTGCTCGACTCCCCCAGCCTCTCCTGGGAGCAGTGGCCCCCAGGGGTGAATACCCTGCCCGGCGGGGGCACCTGTGCCAGCACACCTGAGCGCTCCTCGGCTCTTGCTGCCCTTGTCTTCTCCACGCGGGGGGACAGACCGTGACCCTGACTCCGGCCGGTCTGGCCTGTCTTCCTCTAGACGATGCCGGGAACCGACTTCGCTTTCAGCTGGAGCTGGAATTCGTGCAGTGCTTAGCCAACCCCAACTACCTGAACTGTAAGTGCTTGAGCCCTTGTGCCTCCGGCGGCTTCCACTGCGCTCTGCGGAGGCGTCGCGGCTCTTGCGGTGCCTGTTTCCATGTGCACGCGGTCCGGGGGTCACAGCCGCGCGCACACGTGCGGGCGCATGCGTGCGTGCTGAACAGGCTGGGCTCGTGCTTTGACTTGGGTGTGCGGGCGGTGGGGAGGTTGCCGAGCGGAGGCTTTGCGGTAGGGGTCGCGCATCGGCCGTCCGGGTTGGTTTGCTCTACAGACTTTTTTTTTATGCTTTTCAGTTCTGGCCCAAAGAGGTTACTTCAAAGACAAAGCTTTTGTTAACTATCTTAAGTACTTACTTTACTGGAAAGAACCAGAATATGCCAAGTATCTAAAGTAAGTTTGCTTTTTATAGTCCTAATATGTGTACAGTTTGTTGTATTGCAGAACATGGATAGCTCACATGTGTTCTCGTTTCACATTGGAAAAATACATTCTGAATCTCCACTTGTTTCAGTCGCCTCCATCTTAATACAGGATGTTCTCATCTCCAGCTTGGATTACTGCGGGTCCACTCCCTGGTTGTCCCTGCTTCTGCTCCTTCCGTCCTCCTAGGTCCTCCTAGGTCCTCCCTCCCCCAGGCCAAACCAAGCAGAACAGTTTTCTACACAGAAGCCAGCTCGATCTTTCAGAAGTGTAAATTACGACACAACCCTTTCTTGCTTAGAGCCGTTCAGTGGCTTCCCACTGCATGCAGAACAAGGTCCTGTCTTTTTCCCTGGAAGAACTCTGCGATCTGGCTCTGTTCCTTGACTTTACCTTTCCCTGTGTGTGTGGGGCTGGGGGTACCGGGTAAGTGTCTTAGCATCAACAAGGTAGCTGCTTGGTTTGAAACACAAACAAAAGCCAGTTAATTACTTTGTTTCAGCTGGTTTCTGACCCTAAGGAGCCCACCATCTGTAGACCCAGCGGCATTGCCTGGGCCTGGAGATTAAAGGACACGGGGTGCTCACAAGGAAGATTTTCTGGAGGAGGTGGCCTTACCTGACTCTCAGTACAGGCAAACCTCGAGAGCGCGGGTTTGCTTGCGGACCGTGCAGGAAAGGGAGTCTTTTACCAAAGTGAGCCAAATGATTTTTTTGTTTTCCCAGTGCATTTAAAGGTGATGTTAACACTACTCCACAGGCTATTAAGTGTGCCATAGTATTAAGTAAAAAAAAGGGGACGTACCTCACAAAAATCTTGTTAAAAAACACTAACCGTAGTCTGAGCTTTTAGGGAGTCATGACCACAGATCCCCATAACGAATACAATATTGAAAAGTTTGAAATGTGAGAATTATCAAAATGTGACCCAGAGACATGAAGTGAGCAAATGTGGTTGGAAAAATGGTGCCTGTAGACTTGCTCGATGAAGGGTTGCCACAAACAGAAAACCCAAAAAACAAAACCAAGCCAGGATGTCTGTAGCTGCTGTCTTTTTTTAGGGCCACCTCGGCACCAAGCACTGTACTCGTTTAAACCTTGAACTCTCAGCTCTGCTGTGTATTAAGTAGGTGCTCAGGAAACAATAGTGAAACATCTTGTCTTTTTTCTTTTTTTAAAACAACCGTATTTGGTAGGAAAATGATTCAAACTTGTCCTTTATTCAAGCCACTTTTTGATCAGTGTCTGCTGATTCACAAAGCCAGCAGGACCCTTGCACCCTTCCTGGTCCCTTATCACCGGTCACTTGCTCCTCTAATAGTCCAGAGAGGACTTTCTTAGGTGTTGTGTGTATGTGGACTTGGAGACTGTCTGTGGACAAGGAGCCACAGGCATGGTCAAGTTCACGTCTCCCCCACAGTGTTGCTGGGGTGGCTGCCTGCACTTTGGCCGGGACCAAGTCGTCCCCTGTTGCTCCACTCAGGGACAGCCGATTCCGCCGTTAGCTGGATGCTGGAAAGTTTGTCCTTATTTTGGGATTTAACACATCCCTGCGTAGCTTCAACCCATGTTTCTGGTTTTGTCCCTGAATGACCCCTGAGCCAGTCCGTGCCCTCTGGAGGCAACTGCCCTTCCGATACACACATTCAGGAGAGGTTGAGGGTTAACCCCGTGGGCATACAGTCTGCACAGTTTGTGTGGTAGTCTCTGCCGCTGGAAGATTGGGAGGTTTCTTACCCTGATCCGAACCCTGGAAAAGCCAAACACTGCAGGTCCTTGAGCTTCCAAGTCAGTGCCTGGCTGGTCTGAGGGGCTGCGGTGCGCAGACACCTGCTCCAGCGGGATGGAGGCCCCGCGCCTGTGGGGGGCTGCTTCTCTCCGCTCTTCTCGGCTCCCTTCAGCTGCTTCTCGGGCGCCCCCCGTGGATGTTTTTGCAGTTGTGCCTTCCCCTGTTCAGTCAAGACCCTGAGAGTGGTCAGGGTGTGCTGGAGCTGATACCTTTCTTTTCTGCATGTGGGCATCACCCTTCGAGAAGTGTAACTTGAGTTCATTACAATTTTTTGCAGGGGGAAGGGACAAGGCTGCATATTGCTGACTCACTGAGAATTTTATGCCCACTCAAACCCTTCAGTATTTCGCCATGCCGCTGAGTTCTCCATTTACGTCTCATTTCTTTCCTCTTGTTGGTTGATGCTGTCATTGTAGCTGGTCCAAGTATTTACCAGTTCCTGCTCTGTCATTTAGCATACACTGAGCATTTTCTCAGCCCCCCAGGCGCCCCTCACGCCCAGGCCTTTTAACTCCCGGTGCCCGCATGGAAAGGGAAGAAAGAGCCAGGTTAGGTGTGAGCAGGGCATTTCAGGGGAAGCTGCCACGGCCCCAGGCAGCTGTGACTTCTGAGTGTAAACAGCGCACCTTCGTCGGAGCGACGGCATTGGGACCGGCCCCGCTGTGCAGTGTGGTCCTCGGGCCAGCAGCGCTGCTGTCACTGGCGGGCTCGTTTGGCGATGCAGGGCTCGGGCCCCGTGCAGACCCACTAAGTCAGACCCTGCGTTTAGGGAGTGCGTCACCGGCCCTAGGAACTGTTTTCACACTTTAGGCATTTGTGTCCTGCTTCACAGTTTTGGCTCTGGGCGCTCTCTGTGGAAGTTTTTTAATCGACTTACTCGGATTTTGTCTCTTCTATTTGAAATAATGTCTCTTAGAAAACAGGAAGGTATATATTCTTCACCCAGATATTGTAAATGTTCACATCTTCCTGGGAACATTATCTAGTCTGCAGACCTCATTGTGATTATGTCCAGTGGCTCATTAATGTCCTGTGTCTGGGACAGCATGCAGTCTAGGCCACTATGCTACGTTTTGTCTTTGTGTCTTCTTAGTCTTTAATCTGAGTTTCTTGATCCTTCCCTGCCCCCGCCTTGTGACTGTGACCCAGAAGTGATGCTATAGGCTTCTTGGTGTATCCCGTCGGAGTCGTCGTCTCTCTGACCTACTACTGGTGATGTTCATTTTGCTCACTTGGCTGAGGTGATGGGTGCCAGGTTTCTCCACATCAAGTTACTAGTTTTCCCTTGTATTTAGTAAGTATCTTGTGAGGAAATACTTTGAGACTATGTAAATACTTTGTTTCATATCGTACTTTTACCCACTAATTTTAGCATCTGTTGATACTTGCCTGAAACAATTTTTACTGTGATTTTCTAGCATTCTTTCTACACTTATTAGTTGTAATTTAGGTTTAACGAAGGAGCATTCTCTTATTCCTTACTTATTCGTTTAAAAGAGTTATATTAGGGGGCGCCTGGGTGGCTCAGTGGGTTAAGCCGCTGCCTTCGGCTCAGGTCATGATCTCAGGGTCCTGGGATCGAGTCCCGCATCGGGCTCTCTGCTCAGCGGGGAGCCTGCTTCCCCCCCGCCCCGCCTGCCTCTCCGTCTACTTGTGATCTCTCTCTGTCAAATAAATAAATAAAAAAAAAAAATCTTAAAAAAAAAAAGTTATATTAGCATGGATTCTTATTTTTATTTTCTGGAATATAATTATGTGTTTTCTTGTTCTAATGATTCCAGATTTGGCCCCTCAGATTGGCTCCTGAGTGCTTGGGACATATCCCCATAGTTTTTTGAGCACTTGACTTTCTGGTGCTACATAATGTTCCTGGTTCACCTCGTACTTTCCCTGCATTAGCCCAGGAGTCAGCCATTTCCCCCAAGAAACTCTGGAAAATGCTGTTGAAAAATCCATGATCTGGGCACAGAATGTGCTCATTGGCACCACGGTCATTGCTTCTAGGCCCTTTTTGGCACACACAGCCATGAAGGGGAGAGTGTGTATGTGTGTGTGTGTGTACACTGTGTCTGCTTCTAATCCTCGTCTGTTTCTTTGTCTCTGTGCAATAAGCCAGGGGTTCATGCTCATGTTTTCAGTTGTAGCTCCGTAACACAGGGTCCATTCTAGCCTCCCCCCTTCCTTGGCACTCCTTTTCTGATGGTTGGAAAGTTGGCTCTCTTTACACTGCACTTACCGACTTGGTTGCTCAGTCTTAGAGTATATGAGAAGTAAGTCACGGTGGAAGACTAGAACACAGGATCCATGCATAGTTCTTTGTAAAACAGACTCAATTTTGAATAGAAGTTGTCCTTGTCACTATTGATGGAAAACCAGTAGTTACCAATTAAAAAGATGATTACTAAAGTTCCAAAGTGTACATATTCCTGACCTTGGACACCACGAGAATAGCAGAGTTTAGCCCCAGCGTTGGACTCTGCTTACCCGTTCCTGTGTGGTCTTGGGCAGTATTGAATCTTCCTGAACTGAAGTTTTCTCACGTTTGAAACTGTGGCCTCATGCTGACTTGGCATGACCGGCAGAAGCAGGACACGCAGAACCCCGTACTCCCAAAGTGAGCCGCGTTAGTGTTGTAGAACTGGTAGGCGGCCCTTCGTTTCTGAGTGAGTGTCTGGATTGCAGCTGGGCGTTTCTGACCTGAACCGTGTTGGTGATTAGCTTGTGGCCCTGAACCAGGTACCCTCAGTGTCTGCACATGTTGGAGCTGCTGCAGTACGAGCACTTCCGCAAGGAGCTGGTGAATGCGCAGTGCGCCAAGTTCATCGACGAGCAGCAGATCCTGCACTGGCAGCACTACTCCCGGAAGCGCATGCGCCTGCAGCAGGCGCTGGCCGAGCAGCAGCAGCAGAACAGTGCCGCGGGGAAGTGAGGCGCCGCAGCGGACTTTCCAGCTCCCTTTGTGTGGGGGGGGCACCCGAACCTGCGGAGGGCCCTTGCCTCCGGCTACCTCCCTCCAGCTCCCTTTGTATTGTTTGTGGGCTGCTGCTGTCACACAGTTGTACTTTGGTTTCCTGTGGGTTTGTAAGTTATTATTAGCTCAACCAACTGAATAAAGACACACGTCAGGTGCTTTAAACCACTGGAAGGCTGCAGTGAGGGATGGGGCACGGGGAGGGCCCCCAAATGTCCCGAACTCCAAGCCTAGCTCTGTTCCTCACGTACAGTGGGGCCTGGGCAAGTCCGTCTCCTCCGACCTTCTGTCCCTCAGTGAACTGCCCTACCCCTCTCACCTACAGAACGAGTGCAAGGGAGTCCGTGATTTCCTTTGGCCAGAGACAGGACCCGCAGAAGGACTCACCTATGAAACCGCTTGCTTTGCGAAGGCGGGGGGGGCTTCAAGGACCGGACATGGCTAGGTCACTGACCTAGTGATGGCGGGGAAGATGGTGGTTAATGTCTAACTGGACTCTTGACCTTGGACCGGAATAAAGATGAGGAGCCTCACCCAGGTGCAGTCACCCAGCACCGCTGACATTTACGTGGTAGGGGCTACGATCCATGCGACGTCCCATTCACATCTCGCTGGCAGAACCAGCCTTGTCTGTGAAGGAGGAAACTGAGGTATAGACTGGTTATGAAACTTGCCTCCTGTTACACAGCTAGGAACTGGTGATCAGTGGCACTGACTCCTGGGCTGGGGCTCCTGCCACCACTGGGTTCTCTGGGCTCTGACCGCTCTCTACCACTGGCCTCACCCAGAGTGGGAAGCACGTTCAGACAGTGAACTGCACTGCCTGTGGGGGGCAGAGGCTGGGTTAGAGGCGCCCTGCTCTCCTCCATGGGTCACACTAGCGTCTACATTCTAAAGCCAAAGAAGATGCTATAGGACAAACGCGCTTTGTCAGTTCATGGCATTGAAGGTAAAAGATCTGAACTCCTTTTGTGATTTGGAATTTGCTTTCTGCACTGGTAGGGGCTTTTAGATACTTTTGTCCCCTCTAGTAATGCATGCCCTTGGGCTATTACTGTCACTGCTGTAGACTTAGCTTACCTGTATCTTAAAGATTCCCACATACTACAAGCAAACAGAAGAGTTCGTGGGCATTTTTTTTTTAAAGATTATGTTCATTTATTTGACAGAGACACAGCAAGAGAGGGAACAGAAGTAGGGGGAGCGGGAGAGGGAGAAGTAGGCTTCCTGCTGAGCAGGGAGCCCAATGCGGGGCTCGATCCCAGGACCCTGGGGTCTTGACCTGAGCCAAAGGTAGAAGCTTAACAACTGAGCCACCCAGGTGTCCCTAATAGCACTTTATATTTAGACAGAAACCAGTTTGTTTCACATCATCATTTCTTTATTGCTAACATGAATTCAAAGCAGGTATGCAGTTGCCTTCATACTAGAGCAAATCAGGACATCAAGACACAGTTGCCATCATCAAATCTTAATCTTCGGAGAACAACATCTCCACGAGGTTGGCCTGAAGACACTCAGATTCCACCAGTTTTTGGGGCTGTAAGAGAAGAATGGTCTAATCTTAAGCCACAGGTACAGACATGGTATTAGGAGGACAAGTGGCGTTCTGCCGTGAGTGACACAAATCTTACAGCAGAGAAGCCATGCCATTCAGAAGCTATCAACTAGTTGTAACAGGTCTTTGGAAATAGTTAAGCTGTTTGCCTTAAGATGAATCACTTGGCTCTGCAGACTACAACGAGAGACAGCAAGTCCAGTGCCATTCCCTTCCCCTCAAGTTTTTAATTTAGGATACCAGGGCCATGGCTAACCTAGAGGAGGTGCCCCTTCTTTTTGACCAGAATTCTGGGTTAAGTGGAAAGCAACTGCTGGTGTTGTAAGGAATGCTGCGTTGACCGAACTTCCTGAGCCGTGCTTCCAGAGTTTTAAAACGGATTGGCTTTCAGAAACCATGACAGAGACTGACTACCTAGATACGTGTGTTATTAACAGTTTGTTGGGGTTGGCCATAGGGATGGACAGCCAGGTGGTGTATTTTTCATGCACTCTGAACACCAATGTGCTACTTGGGATGAAATGTCAAGATCTCTTCTAACGAGGGTGAGCTGAGACCCCAACACAATGAAAGGAAAGACACTTACTGTTCCGTATTTAAGTAGTGTAGGCACTGCCGTCACTTTCAGATTTTTTCTGAAGTCGTTATTTGGATCTTTCCAACTATTTTGAAAAGAAGAGGTGATCAGGTTTCTCACAGGTTACTTAATATTCGATACATTCCTACATCTAGTCTGTTAGAACTCATTGCTTTTGTTGCAAACGTTTATCGAGCCTTGAAGACTATGACATTGTGACTCTGCACGGTTTTCCTTAAGAGCGTGAAAACAACATAAAATAAAGGTAAAGACAGTTAGGTTCTGGACTAAAACCAGGCCAGACGCATTGCATCACCTGCAATGGCTAAGTACTCAGAATTTGTCTTTAATCACTCCTAACAGCGGGACTTACCGACTACACCGAGAACCGAGACCTCTGTCCCGAGGCCCTGCCCACCTGAGCTGCGCATGTCTAGTGCGCGTCTGGAACAGGGAATCGGCACTTACTAGGGTTTCTCTCCCACCTGGCAGTAGATGAACACACACCCCTCACTCATGTGCTTCAGCCCCTCTCGAACGACGGGTTCAGCTGGAAACGGAAAAGACCTAAGATAAGACCCGACGCGCCGGGACAGCCGGCACCGAGAGCCCGTCCGCTGCAGGGGGCGGCAGGCGGGTCCTGAGCCGGCTCCGGGCGAACACCCGCTCCCCTGCGCGAGCGAGCGCTCGGGGCCTGGCGCGGTGCGCGGGCTCCGGCGGGGACCCGGAGGCGCGCCGGGCCCCCTCGTCCGCCGCTTCCCTGCCCCGGCCGGGCCCGTGGCCGCCCGCGAGCCCGCCTCACCCTGCACGCAGTCGGGGCACCAGCTCTGCCCGCCCGCGTCCTTGGAGCCGGTGAAGTAGGCGAAGATGGTTTTGTCGCGGTGCCGCTCCACGGCCCGGCTGAACTCCTCGAAACCGCGCACGCTCAGCTCCTCGCGGCCCGCCATCGCTCCGCCGGCCGGGGTCTCGGGGGGCGCGGCCGCGATCTCGGGGCGAGGCCCCGTGCGGGGCGGGGCGCGGCTGCTTCCGGCCGGGCTGGCGGCGGGGCGGGGCCCGGGGCTCCGCGGCGCTACGGGGGCCTTGGGCGGCCACACCGCGTCGGCGCCGCCCGTCCGCGCTCGCTTGTCCGCACCGTCCGCGCCGGCCCTGCGCAGGCCACCGAGCCTCTGCCCGAGACGCCCCGGCCCCGGCCGAGGCCCCATGAGCGCCAGCCGCCCAGCCCGCCGCCGCGCAGCCCCGGGACCCCTGGCGGCTCGGGCGCCCTAACGGCTCCCACGCCGCCCTGCGCCGTTGCCATGGCGACCGGGCGAGCGGCCGGAAGCGCGGCCTAGCAGGTCCCCCGCCCGCCTCCCGGTAGCCGCGCCGCGCCCCAGGCCAGGTGGGCTCGGGCCGGGGCTGGGGGGTTTCTGGGAAGCTGTGCCCGCAGGGGCGGACCCGGGGCCCTGGAAAGCCGGACCCGGGGCCCTGGAAAGCCGGAGCCGGGGCCGTCCCCGCCGCCGTCCCCGTC